TAGCTATTTGGGGGGGGGGTGAACGTGCAGATCTGTCCTCACAGAGGAGGGAGAGCTTGTAACTGAATAAAACTTGGTCTTAAAGGTGCCACTGGACTGTTTTGGATTGCTAGCTATGGGGGGGACTCTGCAACTTACCTGGCTGCTTCTTGCTCTGACTGATGGCTGCTGGGAGCAGGGGGCGGGGCTTGTTGCATGTGCCCGCCCCCTGGGCTCTTTACTGCCAGAGCTCCGCTCCTGTGCGCTCCTGCAGGAAATGACCCGTGTGTGTGTGTGTGTATATATATATATACACACACACACACACACACACACACACACACACACACAAGCCCTTATACTGATTGTGCCAATGGCTCATGTTTTCAGGCTGTATCTGAGCACGCATGCATGTGACCGACCCTCTCCCCTTTTGCCCCCGCTATTTCATTATCGAGGAGGCTTGATGGGACCTGCATGACCACCAGTATTCCCTCTAAGCTGAGTTAATGTGAGCTAGCTCACAGCTTTTTAGCCTCCGTCTCACAGCTATTTTTCTCAGCCCAGGAAGGAGGGCTCCAGAGCAAAACTAATTTGTGCAGTAGCCAAATGGCTTGCTCACAGCGCTAATGGCCGTAGCTCACAAGGCAGAATTTTTGCTCACAAGACTCCGCAGCTTAGAGGGAGCACTGACGACCACGACGACCACCCCTTTTGCCACAGCTGCTATTTGCGGGTGGGCAGGGGGGAGGCTTAAAGGCCAGTTAGGAACTCTGCTTGCCAGGCAAAACAAAAAAACCTCCAAAAACACAAGCGACACAGAAGTTGGGCGTTCTCCACAGGACATTTATTGTACTTTTTTTTTTTAATTTCATTTTTTTTCTTCACAGCATAGTCACTCTCCCGGTTCTGCCCGTACTGAATCCAACCCCTTCCTGAATAAACCCAGGCCTGCTGAGGAAGAGGGAGGAGGAGGAGGGGTGAGCAGCAACGAAGTCATGGAGCCTGAACCCCATAGAACCCCCTAACCTAGTGTGTAAGACTCGGCACATAAAATTCATTCTAACCCTTCTCGGGTCTGGTTACGTCCGGCCAGAGACTCTCTTTGGGGAGCCATCCGAAGAGCTGGAGAGCAGCAGTGACACCTGCTGTCCAGCCGAAGAAATGCAGCTCCTTCTCTCTTCCCCTCCCATTGAATGCATACACCTGTTTTACCTGAACAGGTACACTTTTCCCTTCTCGACAGTATGTACGGAAGGGGACCGGCCGAGTGGTCGTAGCTACCGGCTGCCCAAAGGAGCTTCCCTCCCCCATCGATTGCACACACACCCTACACACCTTGAACCGTCTCCCCCAGCAGTTCACAAATCCAACCACCCACTCAAAGAACAGGCCAACGCTATTCTTGGCAAGGGGACAGAGGAAGGAAGGATGCTGGTCATGTGACCTCCTGGCGGCCATGTCCCTCCACAGTGGCAGCCAGGCGGTTACCAGACTTCTTTCCCTCCTCCCCCTCGCCCCCATGCCCACGTCCCTTTGGAGTGGGACACCCCATGCCAGTGCTTCCCTCCAAGCTGGCAAGGGTGCCCACCACCACCACCACCATTCCACGCTATTATATGCCACGGAAAAAAGCCACGCTTCTCTTCTCGTTCCTCCTGCGATTCCTTGGCATCGGAGAGCGATCGGTACACAGAGAGAGTCGAGAGGGGAGAGTTCTGTTTCTTCTTGGGAGAGGGGAAGGGGAGGGGGGAGGAAGGGGGAAGGGGGAAGATGGTACCAAAAAATTAAAAAAGTCACAAGTCACCGACGCTATAAACGGGCCAAGAAAGATGGCAGTTTGTGCTCAACAAGAGAATTGGAGAGAGTATCACGGGAATCACGGTTATAACATCTGCAGAGAGGAGCTGGCCGACCTGGGAACCGAGGATGGGAAAGTGGGGATGGGTGGGAGGGGTGTTCCCCAACCAGCCAGTCGTCCGACTGATCTCCTCCCGCCTCACGCATGCGTCACTAACCCCCTGGCTGCTAGTTCCAATCAGAAGCCAAAAGCGGAGGCCCTAAATGGTTCCTTGGCCTTGGGGCGGAGGCAGGATCGGAGACACAAGGGGTGTTTGGCGCGTAGCTAAAATCTAAACCGGACGGGAGAGAAAAAGATGTCTTCTACTCGCCCGAAGGATTACAACAGCCTTGCTTCCACCCTCCCCCGAAATCCCTGTATCACTTCATATCAAAGCGGCTTTGTGAACGACGCTTTCGATACGTCCTCCCCGGCGCGTCCCCGAAGGGACGAAATCCCCTTTGCGGCCTTCCCCTCCCACCCAACGCATTCACACTCCCATGCACGCCAATTCCCGACTAAATAGGCAGTGATCGCTAAACAGAAGGAATCTAAAGTTATTCTGGGAGCCACAGGCCAAGACGATCCCTCTGCGTTTTCTTAAAACATCTCGCCTCCTCTTCAGGAGAGGTGTGTGGAATGTGCATTTCTTTTCTTTTTTTTTGAAAGAAAACGAGGCAGTTTCCAGACAGGATACTTATGGCAGGAAAGAATCACTGGCGTCGTCCTTTTGAGCGGCAAAGGGTCCCCCGTCCTCTGCCTCCCCCCCCTTCCTGAATCAAGAGGGAGCTTTAAGGTGTAGTGTGGATTACTTGTCAAGACACAGCACACGGCACAACTCCAGGAATGTTACAGAAGATCACAAAAAAGGGGGGGGGTCAGTGTTTCGTTTTGCGGGGAAGGGGAGAGAGAGCAGGGCGCAGAAATTCACGACTGGACCCACCAACGCGGTCCCGTTCAAAGAGGAGCACGGAGAGACCCAGGCAGGCAGTGAAAGAGGCGCGGGAAACTGGCGTGCTCCGGATCCTCCCCCCCGTCGATGGTTCTGCATTCTGGAATTTCCCAGGAGTAAAAGAAAGCACAGGGAGACCTCGGTTAAAGGCCAGACACGACCCACCACGGGCATCCACATGACA